ATGACAAGTTATAGTCCATTTATATATGATATGTCAAAGTGCATTTTACTGTCATATATAACTAACCAAAAATTTTAAAAATTGGGTATTGTAATGGCTCCAGATAGTTTGTTCTTCTATATGAATTTCTATATGTAATTATGTGTAAAGAATATTATTAGTATTTTTGTGGGGATTKTATTGAATCTGTAGGTCACTTTTGGTAACATGGTCTTTTAACAATAATTTGGATTGTCAATGAACATGGGAGGAATTTTCATCTTTTATATCTCCTTACATTTCTTTTTCAGTATTTCATAGTTTTCCTTGTGGAGGTCGTTTACCTGCTTGGTTAAATTTATGACTAGGTATTTTACTTTTTCTTTTTGAATCTATTGTGAATGGAATCCTTTTCCTGATTTCTTTCTTGGTACATTCATTTTGGTATACAGAAAAGGTACTGATTTTTGTATATTGAATCTGTATTGCTACTTTGACAAATTTATTATCTCTAAAAGTCTCCTGGGAGATCTGTTAAGGTCTCCTAAACATAGAATCATCTGTTCTGCAAATAGGGGTAATTCTTCATATTTTCCTATTTGTATCCCTTTTATTTCCTTCTCTTGCCTACTTGTTCTGACTTAAATTTCAAATATCATATTAAATGGAGGTGGTGAGAATAAATAGTCTTGTCTAATTCCTTATATTAGATGAAATGTTTTCAGTTTTCCCTCATTCAGYATGATGTCACAGCTTTGGGTTTGTCATACATAGTTTTTACTGTTGAGGTAAGTTCCTTATACTCCTAATTTATTCAAGGTTTTTATTATGAAGGGTTGTGGAATTTTAAAGAAGGCTTATTCTATTATCTATTGAGATGGTCATGTGATACTTGTTCTTGGTTCTGTTTATGTGGTGTATTATGTTTATTGATTTGCATATATTGAACTATCCTTGCATCCTTAGAATGAAACTATGGTTATCATGGTATATGATCTTTTAGATTTTTTGTTGAATTGTTTGCAAATATTTTATAAATGATTTTAAATTTTTCATGTGTTCTAATTAGTCATACATGACAGCCGAATGCATTTCAACTCATTGTACATAAATAGAGCACAATTTCTCATTTCTGTGGTTGTACACAATGCAGAGTCACACCATTCATGCAATAATACATGTGCATAGGGTAATAATGTCCATCTCATTTCACCATCCTTCCCTTGCCCATACTCTCTCTCCCTTCTCTTCCCCTCCCCTCAGTCCCTTCTGCCCAGTCCAAAGTTCCTCCATTCTTCCCTAGTCCCTTGTTTCCCATTATGGATCAGCATCTGAATATCAGAGAAAACATTTTTCCTTTGTTTTTTGAGGGATTGGCTTATTTCACTTAGCATGATACTCTCCAACTCCATCCATTTACTGGCAAATGTCATAATTTCATTCTTCTTTCAGGCTAAGTAATATTCTAATGAGTATATATACCACATTTTCTTTGCCCATTCATCTGTTGAAGAGCATCTAGGTTGGTTCCATAGTTTAGCTATTGTGAATAGAGCTGCTATAAATATTGACATCTGTGAGTCACTGTAGTATGCTGATTTTAAGTCCTTTGGATATTAACTGAGGAATGGGATAACTGGGTCAAATGGTGGTTCCATTCCAAGTTTTCTAAGAAATCTCCATTCTGAGCTGGGGATGTGGCTCAAGCGGTAGCGCACTCGCCTGGCATGCGTGCGGCCCGGGTTCGATCCTCAGCACCACATACAAAGATGTTGTGTCTGCCAAGAACTGAAAAATAAATATTAAAAAATTCTCTCTCTCTCTCTCTCT